ATTCTCGGCTGTGCTTTTCTTCTCCATTAATCTGGACCTTCTAAAATCACAACTCTATTTTGCGAGTATTGTTTTAGTCCAAGGTTTTGGTAATATGCCATATGCAGTGGCAGCTCTTCAGAGAGCAGGTGTCAAACTGCAAGGGAGATATCTTTTATCATTAAGCCCCTCCTCTCAGTAAGTCAGGATAAATTGCTATTGCCATAGCAGCCTCTGCTTGCTTTTTAGGGAAGGACAGACCTACTGCACATCCCAGTCTAGACAGGCCTGGGGCTGTTTCCAGCAGTGAAAGAGAAGAGTACAGGGGCTTGGGGCATGTATGTGTGTGTTTGCACTGTCCCTTTCTTCCCCCTTCTTCACTGCCAGAATCCTTGTTATTGCTGCCCTACTACTGGACCGGTCCGTGGACCTGTGTTGCTCTTGCCCCACCACAGAGCTTGGTTCACCCCACCTACCTACCTATCACTTCTACTGCCCCACAGTTCCCACCTCGTTGCAAAATCCCAGCCCTGTCAGATAACTCCTATCCTCCAACTCTGCTTACTCCAGAGCTCAAATCCTACCTACCGCTTCAACCCATAGCTCAGGTCTGCTCCAGGTTCTCCAGTCTTCCTGCCCCAGACCCGCACCTCCAGTCTTCAGCAGCACACGCCAGTCCTGGGATCTTCCTGTTTCATTCCCTGAATGAGCACCTCATATTTCTTACTAATTTCCCCCACATTATACCTTCACCACATGTCCAGCCCTAATCCATGCTGAAACTGGACTTTTCATCCCACAGATCCCCCTTCCCCAGCCACTCTCCTGAGTATTTTACGGCTCCCAACCTAATCCCATCTCCTCACTAACCTATGAGAGAGCATCAGAGGATCTGTTTCCCTTCTTCCAGCCTAGAGTGCCCATTTCTCCATCCTACAATTACCAAAGGCTTCATGCCCTCAAGTCCATCCAGGTCTATTCAAGAGCTCTGGCTCTTGAATTAAGATGTTACATTTCCCAACCCTTTCCAGTCTCACTGTTACCTTCTCCTCACCAACCCATACTGGAAGCTTAGCACCTCAGTTCCCTCAAGGTTTCTACCCTAGATTTTGCAGTTCAACAACACCTCCCAGAGATTGCCTCCATCCCAGACCATTCCGCTTCTCAGTCTGCTATATCACCTCTCTTGACACTTCCTGTCCAGCTCCTTATCTTCCTTCTGTTTTTCCTATTTTGACATCTTCTAGTACCTAACTGCACTATCTCCTCATTAGATGCTGTCCTTCACCTTACTGCTTGAACTATCAGTTGTCTTCCTTACCCCTCTTGGCTTCTGCTGTGGCATTCTCTGCCTTGCAAAAGCAAATTCCCATCTCTTGCACTGGTGAGGCTTTCAGTACCCCAAACAATCGAAGAACATGTTAAAAAATCCACCTGGTTTTACAAAAGAAAAATTATTTCTGGAAAAAAGGTAGACCATCTATGGTAACCCATGATAAAACAATGACACTCTGTTAGTTACAGGGGGATGCAAATATGAGAGATGGTGAGCTACACAAACTATCTACCAAAATCAGTAGAGATTAAAGGAGAGCTGCTAGAGGACAGAAATGTGAACACAAAAGGAGATCAAGATGTCAAGAAGAGTATGAACAACTGGACTGAGGTGCGTGATACTCACCCAGATGAGGAAGAACTAGTACGGCTGAGCTTTAATAAGGAAGTGATCATTAGAAATTCTGGTAAGAACAGCTCAAGGGGCTGTACCAGACTTGTAGAGGTCCAGGAGAAAAAAACTCCAGACAGTGAATAAATAGTGTGCCTAAAGAGTTTAGAGATGAAAGACAAAAATGTGATAGGGTATTCTTGCAGAAGCAAGTATAGCGGCTATTACAGTGCTAAAAACCAGTAGATATGTTTGTTTTAGGAAAGGAGAGGGCTGGACGAGACTGAGAGATTCAGAAGAGGAAAAGAGGGATGAGAGTAGACATAAAGAAGATGTGGAAATTGGATGGAATGAAATTGTATGGGCAGGTGAAAAGGGTAAAGGGCTACAGGAAACAAAGAGGTGAGAGACTCCTGTGTTTATGATAATGAAGAAGAACAAAGAGAAAAAGGTAAGAGGAGAAGGCAGAGAAGGAAAGCTAGTCCAGGAAAAATATGTTTCTGAAGAAAACATGACAAAAGTTTCACCTGTCACCAATAGTGAGAGTAAGCAGAGCTTCTTTTCGAGCGCCAAGACATACCAGTATGCTTTGAAAAAGACATTCTCTGCAAAATAAAGTATAACACATCACGATTAACATGTTTAGGTCTAAGAAAAACACACAGTACAAGATTCTACACAGACTCATACTTTTTTTTCCTAGTGAAACTAGAGAAGCATATAATGTATGTCAGGGGATATACTTCTACTTCAAATATTTCACATGAGAAAAGCTTTCTTAGACATGAAAAGGACAATGATGTAAGAGTCAGTAACCTTTTTTTAGCATTTGAAATGAATTGTAATGGTCTGTAATCTTTCTCAGCATCTCTTAACAAATACCGTTACTAGTAAGTTATTGTTGCATTCTTTTTTTTTTTTTCCTTTGGACTTCATATTCAGTGTGTAACATTTGAAAATAGGATACAGAGAAAATGTGCATAAGGAACTGAGATTTTTCTTTATGTATGAATGGTGAAAAAAATATTAAGACTGTAGGAACTTATTTTGTAATATTGCAGTGAGGCATTATAACTCAGCATTTGACAAATTTTAGTTTAATAAACTCCTTGGTATTTGATCAGTCTTTCTGATGTTACCTTAATAGTAAAAATGACCACTGTAGCAACTATATTGCTCTTAAACATGTTAAATACTATCTGTTGGTAGAAAGCCCTTTTGAAATCCCATCTGGGATGTTAGGTGTTGTTCTTTCTGGGAGTCAAGCATTGAAAAAAATATTCCTACATCTTTCCACCATTATTCACCCACTCCTATTTAGATCATTAATCACTGCAAATAAATAGCCTTTGAAAAAGCAGGAACCATTAAAACCAAGTATAAACTATGAAAAGCAGGATGGGGAGAGTGTTGTATTGCAGTAAGACTTTTGGGGATAGGACAATAAAATCAATCTTGCTCTGACAAATTTGTAATATTAAATTTGTGAAATGGCAAGAACATTACCATGAGAAACAAGCATAGCTCAAATACTCTAGGAATGTTTAGTTCTCTGTGATGCGGTGACAACATTTGGTCTACATATCTGACTAGCAAATGAATAATAATTACATCATGAGTATGGCTGTTAGCTCTATTCTCTTCTGTGATATGATTTTTTTTTGATGTTACCACTTACAGGTTTAATCAGTTTGTGGCCTTGTTGTGGTATAATGTAGCAAAAGTCTACATTATAAGAAAAAGAATAGTAATATTCTTCACCTTTGTGGATCAAGGACTTGAGCGCAGAGAGTAAATGATTTGTCCACTATTTCACAGGAGGTCTCTGGTAGAATTCGAAACTGATTCTAAGGCTCCTGGCACTTGCCTAGTGCATATCACACACCCTTCCAATCCATCATCCCAGCTGAGCAGTTCAGCAGTATTGGAGTCTAAAACTTTTTCAGAGTTTCCTATGTTGACATTAAATGACTGGCAGACAAGAACATGTGGCAGCCTTGTACTACCTTACAAAATAGAGGAGCAATGAGATTGCACAGTATTGTTATCTCAATTTTACTGAGAGGAGGGGTGATTATTTATTTATTACTAACCATGTATTTTTGTGTACTTTTGGGCTTAAGCAAGAGTTGTCTTTGACTCAAGGGATGGCTTTTCCACTGATACATGGAGTTTCCCTCTAGTCCAGGCAATTTATTTCATCCTTAACTGGTTCTGCAGTCACCCTCTCAGAAAAGCACTTCATCACTTTTTCTCATGAGCCCAAGTGTTGCGAATCCCCAATTCTGTACCAAGTTTGTGTTTTTCACAAGCTAGACAAACACATATGATGAGATCACTATTATCATGTCATATGATATTTGACCTGATGCTGTCTATAGTCAGTGGAAAGAGACAGGCAACCATCAAGATTAAATGACTCTCTTGTTACTGATCAAGAAATAACTGGCAGCAAATAATGGATCTCACACAGCCTGAGGTACTTATGACACTTCACAGTTTATAAATAGACTTGTTTCTCAAAAGCACTGTGCAAATGCCACTAACACATGGCTCTTGCCTTGAGGTCTAGACTAATTCCATGAGATTTTCCCTGCTGTGGTATTTGTTTTAGAGTGTTAGGATGTAGCAGCTTCTAGAAAATGGGATAGCTTAGGCAGTTGCCCTTCCAATCCATCAGTTCTTCCCATTTTCACACAGATATGCAGCACTACTGTTCATTGAGCCTCAAGGTCAGCAGGGTGATGGAACTAACTCAAATGGAAAAAAAAATATGGTAAATTACCTTTTTTCCTAGATGGGTCAGTTCCTCACTCTTGTTTGTTTGTGCATGGCTGCTCAGCTTGCTGTGCCAGCATGAGAGCAGAGTGGGTAGAGATGTTAATGGCTGAAACAGGGAAACAGCAAAGGCTGCTTAACCAGCATTGCAGAATCACATGTAGCGTGTGTAAAACCACAGTCACAGTTTGACCAAGTACTACAGACGTGATGTGGAATGTGGACGTCTGCTTAACCAGCATGCAGAATCACATGTAGCGTGTGTAAAACCACAGTCACAGTTTGACCAAGTACTACAGACGTGATGTGGACTCCTTCAGACCTTCAGCTCACTGATTTTGACTGTAAGAGCCCAAATCAGTTTTTCATCAGTTTGTGGGAAGCAACCTTGTAATTTTGTAGGAATAATATCTGTTCATGCTGAACTACAGAAGGATAGTTTGGCTGCATGGTACTAAATCTGCCTTCCCCCCCGCCCCGTATAAGAAGAAATACAGTTTAGTACTCTATTTTGGTTTTGTTATCATGTATTTACTGACTGACTAAAATATGCTTTCTCATAATATTCATACCACAGGTCAGTTGCTCCGTCTGAAAATGTTTCGAGAGGACCACGGGTCTTGGATGACAATGTTCTTCAGTACCATCCTCTTCCTCTTCATTTTTTCTCACATTTATAATCTGTTCCTCATTATGGCAGGGAATATGAGGTAGGTTACAGAGTTTCTTTTTGTCTCTTTTGCTCTAGAATATATTCTACTGGAAGATTTTCATATTATGCTGCTTTATGGTGAACAAGAGTTTACCAAAATGTAAACGTACTAGTATTCACTATCTTTTTTTGTTCCTCTGCTTTCTGAATTTAGGTAGGATAGTGATTTAATTGGTTAATTAGCCAAGAGGATTAAAGTATCAGTTATAAAAAGCAGGCTCCTAAACTAATGTTATCAACTATTACATCAGGGTACTAATGAACATTATATCTATTTTTTTTAATTTAAAATTATAGCTCAACAAATTTGATTTGAAGTTAGGGCTCAGTAGTTTAAAAGTATAAGCATTACTACTGTGCATACGCAGGAAATTCAGAGTTAAAATTAAAAGAAATTGAAATATCCGAACTTGAGGAAGCTCACACTCAAAACACAAACATTAAAAGTGTACTATAAGCATTACTACTGTGCATACGCAGGAAATTCAGAGTTAAAATTAAAAGAAATTGAAATATCCGAACTTGAGGAAGCTCACACTCAAAACACAAACATTAAAAGTGTACTATAGTGCTATTTTGGTTATGTATAATAATATTTGCTGATCCAGTTTGCTAAAAATATTCTTAAAAATCTATTTCTTTTTCCCATAAGGTGCTCCAACAGGGCAAAGTTATGGTTGGCTGAGGGATGAACAGCTATCTTTTTATTATGTCTGGAGTTATTTTAAATGGAGCTTTTTATATTAATTTTCTAGCTTAAGAAGACTTGCTTTCTCCTATTACCTCAAAATTAACACCACTTTCACGTGTTGAATTTCCTGAGAAAACCTACATTATTAGTCATCTAATACATACAAAATGAGTTCATTGGACAAAAATACACAGTCATGTTGTTTATGAAAGGCAAGATAGCATCTGAAGAGTTTCTAGGGAAGAATAAGAAACCAAATGTATATATGAGTTGAAGAACGGTGCAAATAACTGAATGACTTGTTCTTAGCAGAATATCAAAGCCATACCAACAGAGTCTGATGAAGAGTTACTTAATTGGCCCTGGTGTGGTGTGTTACAGATCTTAAGCGTGTCAGCAAAAATACGCAGTGTATAAAGTCCTGTCAACAATGTGACATAAACGAAAAGGTGAGTAGGAGGCAGACTGAATGAACGTAAGCACAGACCAGCTGGCTAATCATGAGATTGTGACAGGAAGACTAAATGTATTGATTCGAGCAAGGCAGGTAAAGCAGCAGAATCACCGGGTGTTTTAGGAAACGATCATGGTAATGATGTAGTAAATATGAACAGGTGCCCAATAAGAGGCAGAATAATCATCCCTGAAATGAGGAGGGTGGGAGCATTGCAGGTTTCTGGCTTCCCTATTTACATAGTCATACTATTATTGGTATTATGTTAAGATTTATATTTGGTATTTCTAATGCTCCATAAACTATAACTAGCTGTTAGACAAAGCATTAACATTTTGAAAGCTTGACTCATGTCTGGAAATCAGAGTTCATTTGTCCTTGTCAACATTCCTGCTCCCTGTATCTGTTACAAGCTTCCATTAGCTGCACTGAAGAGATTGTGTGGCAATCAGCATCCACGTTCATGGAAATAGCCTAGTACTAAAATACTTCAAAAACTTAAAATTCCGAATTACAGAGGAAATTCAATGGCCTCATTCCCACGGCACAGTTCAGCCCCTGGTGTCACACAAGATAATATTTTTTCTGATCCTCTACAATTGGTTTTACTCTTCTCCAAGTGTTAAAACTGTTCCAAAACAAATCTCTCCTTATTTGAGCATAAAGCACTACTTAAGGTTACTCTGACTTTTGCAGGAACAGCTTTTTCTGCGTTATTTTCACAGCAGCCTTGACCAGGCGTGCTCTCTAACGGCTGCTGGTCTGTTCTGACTGACTCGTCCTGCTACGCTCCCCAGGGCTCTAAACCTAAACCTGAATAACAGATGAACCTTTCCTACCTCTGGACCATTTTCACATTTATCCTCTCTATTCCACATCTTTTTTGCAGAGAAGGACCAGCTAGACCAAACACCTCATGCCTGAAGCCTGTGCCTCAACCCTGCTGGGCCTTCAGACGATTACACAGCCTGGGCCTCATGTGGGCCCTGTGCCCGGCTCGGCTTCTGCTTGCTGTTTTCAGGGATGCAAGGCAGTAAGAAATAATAGCTGCAGACCATTCTCCGAAAGCTTTTCAGATGTGTTTCCTCACCAGATGTTCAGCTCTGACTACAAGAGCAGTGACCTAATATACAGTGGGTCAGTGCTGTGAAGTCCCTAAAAGGAAATGTCACTGAAAAGAGAAGAGGGACTTAAAATTTAAAAAGATACATTCCAATCTGTCACAAAATTTTCAGTTCAAATAGTCATACTTTCACCCAGCAAACAGCTCTATAATATATATTCAAATACCAGCAACTTGTTCAGCTTTTGCTCTTCCCAGCAAACTACAGTCCCTACCGCTACCCTTTTTTAAGGGATACATTCACACTGTTTAGGTTTGCCACACTGAGACACGTGTGAAATGTCTTTAAAAATACTTTAAAAAAAAACCCCAAATCTTGGCAACTGTAAAATATACCTTCTTAAAGATGGTAACATGACAGAACTTTAAAGCACTCCTGGCACAGGTTTCTCGAGCCCTCAACAGGATATCGCTTCTGCTGTGACCATCCACGCTGGCATGCACATGCAAGATGTACGATTCTCCTACTCGTGAGCAACAAGGGATTTTCATTGATGAGACCAAACATCTGACATAAAGAAACTTGTCAGAATCACTCTTCTGCCAGCACACAGGGCAAGCTGAATCAGAGACAGGGCAAGGAGCAAACACGTGCAAAAAAAAGAATATTTTTCACTCATTCTGAAAATGAGTCCCATCCAGAGAGGGACTGATACAACACGATGTGACGTACTTTGGCCCGGGGATCTGCTCTTCATGCTTCGAGTCTTGTGGTGGTTTTGTGCACACGAGCAGAAGTACACCATCTGTCACGTTGTGGTCCGTCACACTTGTGCACAACAGTCCATCACACATGTACACAACGGTCCTCTGCACAGCAAGCCTGGGCAGCCTCGGGAAGAGGCTAGCTGCCATCTAAAGTGTCCCTCTGTGTCAAATCTGTCACTGTCTCTTTTCCTGCTCTCTACTATTCTTTGCCCTCACATGGCTGAAAAAAATCCCTCCTTCCTTTACCCATCTTACAACAGCTGTGCGAGCCTGTTTGGAGGTCTTAATTCCTACTCAGCGCTATTTCCATCAACACAGGCCTGCATATAGTGAATAGAAGTTTTTTTCTATGATTATAGGCAATAAGAAGATAGTGGTTGCTCTCTTGTGGTACTCAGCTTCTGCTTTGTTGGTTTCCCTTCTGCAGAAGTGTCTGTCAACTCCTGTCACTTCATCGTAACATTTTCTTTGACCAGTGCTCTGAAGAGGGGAAGACAGTTTGCTTGGAAGCTGAACCAGAGCATTGCCAGTGGTCACTGGGTGAGGCTGAGGGGCGTGAACTCGTGGCAGCACATCGTGATCAGAAGTGATGACAAACAGTGGCTGCACAATTTTCAGGCACCACCCTGTCACACAGTTAGGACTACGAATGCACCGCAAGGTGGCCGGGTGGCCATCTGGCTGTCTGTCCATCCGGGGAGGTCACTGCACAACCCCTCTGCGAACATTATGCGCCACTGGCCATGTCTGGGGTCCCCCGACCCGGTCTTGAACTGTTCATACAGTCCTGAGCAGGAGATCGTTCTCCAAGTATCTTAACGATCTTTGAAGACGTGAATTGGGTCCTTTGAGTGCTTATAATACCTTGTGCTGGACATTATTAATAACACACAGTTAGTTATTGGACAAGACCAATAACATTGGCCAAGGCCAAGGTTTCTGTTAGAAGCAGTAAAATTGAATAAGCAGACGTGCTGTTGAACATTTGCGGCAAACTCAAACCTAGTATATGCGAAAGTAGCTCAGAGCCCAGCGTGCCAAAGTAAAGCCCTCAGAGGATTAAACAAGCAAATTGTTTTGCAGAGGGAAGTTCTAGAAAGCTAGGGTCAGCATCGCCTAGCTTGAAGAATTTCTTAAAACATTTTAAAACCAGGAGTTCATGTAATGAATGGTAACAAGGACAATGTGAGAATAACATAGAATTTTATGATAATGTTTTACGGTATTGCATGGTTTAAAAAAAATAAAGAACAAACCTCATCAGAATCCTCCTCTGTCTGCAGCTTGGAGGAAACTGGAGCAGTGTTGGGCTATTGAATTCTTAGGGCTTTTCCAGTGATTCCCAATTCACAGCATGCATATCCAGTTAGGTGCCAAGCTCCATGGTACTCTCCCATCTGAAGACCTTCCCTAGTCCCTTGTAATGGGTACTCTGTGCTGCCTTGCCAGAGATTTGACTTCTGCCCCTGCCCTGATGGCCTTCATTTTTCAAAATACAGTATGGCAATGGTATTCAAATCTTGGGTAGATAAGTTAACTGTCTGGCAACTTTTGCGTAGTGCCAGTGAGCACACTCAAGTTTTCTGCCCCCTTGCAGAAGATGCTTGGAAGGCTTGTCCCAAGGCACTCCAGTGGAACACGAGATACTTGCCTTGCACTTTGTTTCCTATATTTGGCCATTTCCAGTTACTCTTTTGGAGCTTGAGTTGAAAGACTGAAAAAAGTAGATCAGGATTTCATTAAAAATTAAGGGTTGTAATGTGCTGGTGAGAGCTGTTAGGATTTTGAAAATGATGACTCTAAAATGATCTTGGTTTTCAAAGCACATGCAGGTCTCCCTCAGTCAAAAAGCCAAAAACACTGTAAAGAGAGTAGTTCCCTCCTCATCCTTTTATTCTCTCTTGTGTGGTAGAGTGACCAAACCTATGGATGTTTCCAGCATCCTCTTCTTGCACATGCCCACAGCCACTGCTGGAGGACTAATCAGCATCGTTGTGATCTACTCCATGTTTCAGTACCGTA